AGCCTCTGGTTCAACCAGTTTATCAAAAATGCAGTCCCATCAAGCGGTTCATCATCATCCCACAAGCAACCAGAAAGTCAACAGCCAAAGGGTGGACAAGTTTGCGGCAATAATTTTTTGAGCTCAACAAGTATGCATTCACAGCAGTTGCTGGAGCATAGGATGCATTCATCCAATCAATCTCGGAAAATGGAGCATGAGATGAGTGGAGAGCATACAACTGCAAACACGCAGAAAAAGGTTCATGGCCAGAACCCTCCAGTTCATCGTCAGCCGCTCAACTTTGCCTTGGTACCCTCTGCAGCAGTGGGTGGAGGCGGAGTTGATCTCGTCCCTCCTCAAGCATTTGCCATGTCATTTGCCTCCTTCACTGGAAACAACAAAGCTTCAAATCTTAATTTCTCATCAATGGCACAGAACCCCACGATTTTTCATAGCCTGTCTGAGATGGCTCGGCAAGGATACCAAGTTGCACATGTACCGCATGTTACACAATCGAAGAATCACCAAATATCCGATGGGAAGAGTGGATCTAGTTCAGGCAATACGGATGATGGAAAAAAGGCAAGTTCGGGGAAGTCGCATACTACAAATGGCCTGACATATGTTTTTGACAATTCAGCTAGATCTTTGAATTTTGTATCCTCCCCTGTCGCTGGAAATTGGCCTCCACGCTCCGTCACCTCCACTACCGTAGGCATAAATCCTCCTGTTGTTTCTAATTCATCAAATTCCTATCAACAGCTGCTTCAACTTCAGAAGCAGCACATGGCGCAACAACATCATCAGCAACCTGCTACAGCTTCTGGAAGCAAGACTCAGACAACAGACGCCATGCTTGCATCTTCCATTGCTGCTAAGTTTTCTACCAATGCTGCTATATTCTCACAAACTGTGCCCCAACGCAACCCTGCAGCACAGTCAATCCCATGGAAAAACTCAGCTAGAACCCTCGCTTCCCCTGCTACCAATGTTAAATTTCCCCCCCAGCAACCATTGAAGCCACCACAAGGCCAAACACAAATATCATTGGGGTAAATACCCAGGGACAAGAAATACCTACAGCAGCCGGTCTGCATCGCCTATGATTGTTCGGTCTTTCCACCTAGCAGTGGCAACTCAAGAAGAAGCTCAACAAGCAGCACAGTAGGCTCATCAGTTCCTTCTTCCAACACTGCAATCACAACAGAACGATAAATCTTCTGTTGATAACAGCCAGAAATTGTCTTGGTTTGTAGAAAAAACATACCTCCGATCTTGACCACATGCCCCAGCCACCTTTCGGATTTGGTATTGAAATTCAACTGCAATTAGTATTTATGACCACAGCAGATCAACTTTCAAGGGACAAGGTGCAGGGCGCCTTACGAAGTCTTTTTCTAGGGGGACCAAGCTCTTCATGTTAAGTGGAAGGCACATGGGTTTTTGTTACAATCACATTGCCACATTGGTCTTAAGAAGAGAGGATAATGTTAAAAGGGAGGTTGGTGGCTTGTAAATAAAAAAAAAGGCCTACAGTTTTGAAGTAGGAACCAAAGTGGGGGGGGGGGGACCAACCAAACCAATGCCCATATTTTAGGTGTTAGATGGGGTCAAATTATTTGATTGGTTTAATGTGATGCTGACGTGTAAATAGGATAACCATTTGCTAAGAAAACAGTACTCCTAGTTTCGTTACTATTTTATTTGAAGTTTGATGAAAGTTTTGTTCATTTCCCTTGATTTTGTTGTGTTATTGATTTCGGGGGGCCATCGGGAATAACTTTTGACCCAACACTTGGACTCTTTCAATCAAGCTTCCTTAAACGGCAGTGTGTAACCCAAACTCACTCATTTCACATTGTTTGGGGACAGGGGAATACTGCCAAATGTTTCAGTCTCTTTCAATAATACTTGAAATATAAGATGACGTTTGGTTGACATGAATCTCTTGAAATTGAGGGAATTAGAATTTAATTCTACTATTTTTCCATATTTAGTTCAAATTTTACAAGAGAATTAGAATCCCTCATGGCTTCAACTTTTCATCAAATGAGGGAAAGTGAATTCTATACAAGAATTGATAGAATTCAATTCCGGAATTGAAATTTGACCATACTACTCTCATCAATCTTTTGATAACTTATTCATATATTGAATAAAAATATTTTTTTTTATTATTTTGGGTCGGGTCAGGTCGGATTTTTTAAGTGTGATATTAGCATGATTTTTATAATTTATTAAAATGAATAATCAATCAAAAAATGAAAATTTAATATTTTTTAATTTTTTATAATATATTACTACATGTAAGTTGTAAAACAAACTAAAATAAAGCAAAAAAACAAGAAGGGTAATTCTATCATTTTACATTACTGAAATAAAATTCATCTGATATGTCTACGAACCAAACAGAATATGAAATTGGATTTTAATTCCATTTCCTGCCAATCAAACAGAATATGGAATTGAATTACAATTCCTGACAGATCCCAATTCTTTCACAGATTCCAATTCCTTCACAGATTCAATTTCCTCATAAACATTCCAACGAACTAAACGCCACCTAAGCTTTTCGTCGGCAGTGTTAATGTGGCACTGTTGTTATACGGCCGCTATGCATGCCAAGCCCTTGCCCCTTACCTTACCTTACCTTTCGCCATTGCTGCAATTATTTGCCGCTCGGTGTGACATCTCAAAAGATGAGTGACCCTTTGCCAACGGCTTTAAATCAGTAGAATTCCAACAGCTTGGCAAAAGGTTAATTCACAGACCGTTCTAGCAGACGGAAAGAGGGTTCATAGAATAGTGTCGAAAGCCTAAAATAGAAAGTTTTGAAATTAGCACGAACTAACTTATTTTAGTGGTTAAATGAATTGTTGATGTTTCTAGAAGTCATGAGTTCAAACACCAACATCTACAAGGGTGATCGAGTGTTTATTATCTAATAAGTGAGAGTACTTAGAATAAATATTATTTTATAACCACATTTAATTTATTAAAAAAAGTTTTGAAGATAACTCCGCAAAACTAATTGGAGTCTTGGACTTATGGTGATAAACAAGGCGTTATATAACTTATATTTGGATCCTGATATCTCACCATATAGAGTAGGTAATGGAGCCATTGATTATCCTATTAACACATTAAAATGTACCGGTGACAAGGATGCATATTTTTTTTACATGTCTAGTGGATGTGATGGAAATGGTTAGGAATAGATTTGAGTCAGGTTTTTGGTCTACCCGACCTAAGAATAAGGAGTCCTCCACTCGAGACCCAACCCAATCCGACCAAAATAAGTTTTCACCCGACCTGATATATAACTTAAAATTCCGATCCAACCCAACACGAAATAAAAAAAATATTTTTATTCAATAAAAACAATGATTTAATTGAAAAAAATAATATATAGAGGGGTATTATTGTAATTATTCATAAACATATAAGGTAAAATTATATATTATTTTTGAGGTCGGTCAGGTATTTTTCACCCTAAACCAGATCCAAACTTAAAAATTTTATAAATCCGATCGGGTCAGAATCCATCGATTCGAGTCCCATACCCATCTTTAAAAATGGTACATAGATATTGATGTTGACGGTGATTCATAGCAAGAACCCAATTAAGTGCTTTCTTTTCATTTAAAATCTATAAAATATTTTAGTAATAACATTAATTAAATTATTACTCTATCTATAATACATAATATTATGTACTGTATCTAATATTTATAATGTACAACTTCAGAAAAAATATTAAACAACAAAAATTATTTATACATCATCATTTAAATACCAAAAAATATAATTAATTTCACAATAAAAATATTTTTTCAAAATTTATTTTTAGTGTATCGAACTACTCTAATTTTTTTCCTCATAGAAGCTTATATGAAAAATTTTAAGGCGGGCAGTAGTCAATATACAATTATAATTTTATTGTATAAAAATAAACATGTTCCCTGAATAAATAAATAAATGTGTTGGATATTAGAAAAAGTGAGAAGTCGGTTTGGGTAAGAGCAAGCATCGAAATCAAGTATCCTATTGGTCCAAGTAACATCATCTTATAAACCACCACCCATCTAAAAACATTTTCCCTTATCATCATCATCCATCACACAAATCTCCAGCCCTCCGCCCCCCCCCCCCCCAATAAAAAATCAACAAGAAGAGAAAAGGGAACTCACCCCTGCAGAGCTCATCATCCATCATCTACATCGCCATGGCAACTCAAACAGGTTTCTTCACCCCCACAATCACCACCCCAAAATCCCTGGCTCCATGGAAGCCATCCTCCTCAATTTCCTTCTCCACTGCACAAAGAACCATTAGGGCTGCAGATGCAGACGAGGCACCGGCAGCAGCCACCGCTGCCACAGAGGAAGCTCCGGTTGGTTTCAACCCACCAGAGTTGGACCCAAACACCCCATCACCCATCTTCGGAGGAAGCACAGGACTGTTGAGGAAGGCACAAGTAGGGGGGAATTCTATGTCACAACATGGTATTCCCCCAAATAAAAAATCTTCGAGATGCCAACAGGAGGGGCAGCCATAACGAGGCAAGGCCCTAACTTGCTCAAGTTGGCTAGGAAAGAGCAGTGCTTGGCATTGGGAACTAGGCTGAGGTCCAAGTACAAGATCAAGTACCAATTTTACAGGGTTTTCCCTAATGGTGAGGTTCAATACCTTCACCCCAAAGATGGTGTCTATCCTGAGAAAGTTAACCCTGGTCGTCAAGGTGTGGGTCAGAACTTCAGGTCAATTGAGAAGAATGTTAGTCGTATTGAAGTCAAGTTTACTGGGATACGAGTTTATGACTTGTAAGATGAGTGACTTAGGATAGTGCTTAATGAAATGATGGTGTAATGTAACCATTATTTCTTGTTAATTGTTTTATGTACTTTTCTCCTTTTTGTCACTGCTGTATCTTTTAGCTAACAATTGCAATGGCACCTTCATCCTCTAAAGTATTTCATACTTTGCAACAAAAATTGTATACATAGATGGTGCCTGCTACTCATCGGCTAAATTCATACAACACAGAGATTCAAACATCACAGGACGGCCGCCTAGATGGCCTGTCTTCGGTCAAGATCTCCATTACCAGCTGCCAAGTCTCACATGATACAGTTTGGCAAATTCTGCTGACAAGCTCCAGAAGATGCATGAACAAGCAATATGTTTAATGTCAAGTTCCCTTGAAATAGCTATATGATATAAGCTAATGATCAGTTCATTAACTAAGCAGCTCCTTTAAAAATGACATCAGAAACTATTTCCTTTTAGTTTGAAATCTCTTCAATTAAACAAAATCTCCTAAAGAGAACTTTAGCAAATGTGTTCTTAAAATGTGTTCTTAAGGTTTAGCAAAGTGCAGCATAAACCGCAAACTGTAGTATCCAACAATCAGAGCTTGGATTCCAAAACCACTATATGAATATATTAATGGCGAAAATGAGAGCACGTTCTACACATCCTATGGCCATGACATTAGGGGGAAACCCCAAGAAAAGCCTTTACCAGAATGCAAATCATTAATCATCAACCATCACTTGGTCACTGAGAAGGATCCAAAGAAGGAAATCATTAGAAAAACACAAAGAATATAATAATCTCAAAAGCCAACTCACCCAAGCCTGTCCATCCTATTAACATCTAAAAAAACTTTATAAGCTCCAACGATTCCTAAGACGTGGCAGACAAATTTAAGTTCCCATAACAAGATCCCAAGCTTTTAGCCCCCAAAGTTTAGACACTTGAAAGATATGCAATCATTAGGAGCTGAACTGTGACAAATTTCTCTTAAAACATTAAAAAAGCAAACAAGAACCTTCGTCTCAACTTTTGACAATGTCAGTATAAGACATTTTGAGGACTATACTCTGGGATTCTAGTCCAAATATATTCTTATCACCAGCTGAACGTTCAGTCACCATAAAGTCCAGGGTACTAATGTATGGATTGTTTCGCTTTCTCACCTTTGTCCTCCTCCAAAAGACTACCTGACAATAATCTTCACAATTGAAGTATCACTAATTAAGCCCAAATAAGGAAAAGGATTTCGGTAACAAAGTAAATCGTGCCAACATACCACAATTTTTCTTATTTCTAATTTCTAATGACTACGGTAAAAATGCTGTCTTTAGCGCATGCATACCCAAAAAACACTTTGATAGAAAAATCTCAGTAGTTAGCATTACAGATAATGCTTTTAATGCAACCCACATGAACAAATTAGCCATAAACTAATAAAGCCAACAGCATATAAATGATGAGCATACATGAGGTTCAAGCATCCGCCCCATCTTTCCCAGCAAAAGGATTGTGTGTAGGACCAACATCCTGCCCAATATGGCGCTGCACCAGCCGTTGCAAATCAGCCATAACCTTGTGCTCCCGTTTTGCTTTCTCTTCATAGTTAAACATAGCCAATGCCCTCTTGTCCTCCGCACTGTAAACCTGGTTTTCTTTCCTAATACGAATGGCATTCATTCTCTGATGTCTGCTACCACTCATCACAAACCCAAGGTCCTCAAACTTTTGAATCTCCTCAGCAGAAAGACCCACTTCACCTCTTCGTGGGATACGCTTTCCCTGTTGGACATATTGTGCAATAGCATCACCTTCACCAGGCCTCAGAGCACCACCATAACTTATATGTCCCTCAGCTCTTGGCACTGGTGCAGGGCCAACCATAGGCTCATTATCTAGTGCAGTTTTCTTCTGAGCCTCTATCATCTCTTTGAACATAAGAGCTTCAGCAGCATTAATATCAGCAATCTTAGGCTCATCCACCATTGCTTTACTCTTGGCATCGACTCCAGAATCTGAGCTCTTATCAGAATCCGAAGCTTGGCTTTCAATTTCTGATCCTCTCCTTTTCTTACTCTTTCTAGACCTCAAATTCGTAGAGCTTTTCCGCTTCTTTGACTTGACACGATCATCAAAGGATGTGTCCGTTTCGCTATCTCCACTCCCGCTCTCATCAGAGCCACTATGCCTACTCTTCTTCCTGCTTCTTTTCCTTCTACTGCTTTTATTACTATTCTTATTCCAACTACTCTGCTTTCTCCTCGACTTCCTTCTCCTTTTGTCTTCCTCATCATCGGATTCGCTCTCTGTGTCACTGGATTCGTTATCCCTGGAAGATGATTTTTTCCAGCTTCTGCATTTGCTTCTCCCACTTCTCCGCTTAGAACTCGACCCCTTCTTCCTCTTCCTAGATCTTGAATAATCTGATTCAGATTCTGACTCACTTTCTGATTCGCTCTCCGATTCACTACTACCAGATTTTTCAGACTCGGACTCGGATTTAACTCTCTTGTTGCTCTTCTTCTCGTTTTCTTTATCAGAGTCGCTCTTCTCGTCACCCTTATCCTCCCCGTACTTCTCTGAAATTTAATTCACCTTTATCCTCCAAATCATCGTCTTCATTCCTTAGCGGACTCGGCGTATTCTCCCAAATACAGAATCTCAACGCTTTCCTCATCTTCTGCCTCTTCAGCCTCCTATACTCCTCAAAGTTCAATCCTTTCAACTCCTCGCCCGATTCCGACTCGGATTGTTTACCGTTCCTATAATCTCGGTCCAGGTAGCTATGATTCTTGCCAAATTTCTTGGGGAGAGATTTTAGGGTTCGGTTGCGGTTTTCTTGTCGGTCGCGATCATATACATCGTAACTGGGACTGCGTCGAAGGCGGCGATAGTCGATAGAATCATCGGATTTTTCGCGATCAAAACGCTGTCTTCTTTCAGGAATTTCGATAGGGCTTCGTCTTCTAGGGTTTCTGTATTCAGGCGAACCAGAACGGTCACGCTGTTGGTTACCCTTGCGGCTCTGGCGGTCGCGTCCGTATGCTTCATAGCTAGGGCTACCGCGGCGATGACGGTAGTGGGGGGAACCATCGGATTCAGATATGTAGCGGTCGTTTTCGCGATCAGATTCGTGCCTTCGTCCCGGAACTTCGACTGTGGATGTCAGGCGGCCCATCGGAATCCAATCAAAGTACGCAAGCAACTCGAAGTATCGTCTTTTGCAAAATTTTTCAAAAGAGAGCAAAGAGGATCAGAACATGTTCATCGCAAAATTTATAGTGAACCTCTAATGAAGATAACGTTACCGGAGGAAATATGAAACTAATATATTCTAAATCCTAAACATTAAATGAGCCGAAAGCCTATTGAGCTTGAGAGGCTGCAATCCAAGTCCGAATGAAAGTAGAGTAGCCCAATATTTATATGGGCAGGGGTGGCCTTTAGTAAAATTATGTTTACCCTAAAATTGTAAATTTAAATTATCCAAAAAAAATTGTAAATTTTTTAGTCAATAAAATAGTAACATTATCCTTTGGTTCCTGATTTAGTAAAAGTGTCAGTTTCATCTTAAAATGATAAATTTGATTTAGATATTTTATAGTGTTAGATAGGACTAATTTAAATTTCTTCAAAAATAAATTTATAATTATATAAAAATTGGGGGTAGGTGGAATTAAGAATGAGTATTTGGAAGTTGAGTTAATTCAGGTTAAAAATTCAAGTTAGTGAAATGAATATATATTTATCATTTAAAATTTATTTATTTAAATTTATTTTCATATCAAATTGAATTTTGTTCACCCGATTAACCAATAATTGATGTGAATGAAATAAATAAGGATGAAGGCTAGTTTTCCAATCAATGCATCATCACCAATTGACAAATCCAAATCATATACACTACTTTGATCAGACAAAAATTAATTTATAATATTTCTACATCATCTCATCCTCTCTAATCTCTATCTGCAGGGAGAGAGGTTTAAACCAATTTTTTTTTTATTTAAAAAAAACAAAAGTGGGTTTCAATGTTTTGTTTATGAATTTAATCATTTTGAAACTTGAAAATAATTTATCCATGCAGCAATGGAATTTTCTTAATTCTCCTCTCCATCAAGAACCATTTCCCGGTATCGGCACTCTTGACTGCAAAATGCTTTGTCGCCTCTGCATTGCTTAAACCAACCGTCACATTATGCCCATTTAAGCTCAACAGAATCTAGTTTATTTTACTTGATGAAACACGAACCTGTAAACGTAAATGTCGATTTTCTGCTGAAGATTCTTCTTACATGTATAACAAAAGCTGAGGAAACTCTCGGATGCAGACTTGGACTTATTATCCGATGCACTGCAACAGCACGCCACGACACAGTCATCGAAGATATGGATTGTTTTGGGGATAGGCCCATGTGATATAACTCATGTATAATCCTCTGATAGCTCCATTTCTTCAACAGGGAGACGGCCATTGATGATCCTTGGTGAATCCTTCATGCAAACGCCAAATGGTGACGAGGGAATACGAGCATTCCTGGTTTTGATCCCGAAATCACCTGGAGATTTTGGGGAAGTGGTGCCGTATGGAGAAGGTGGGATTAGAGGAATCTGAACCCTGAGATTTGATATATCCTTGAGTGTATCGACTATAGCAAGAGCAATACCTTTCGGTTCTGAGTTTTCAGGTGAGTGATGTTTGTAAGGATGGTTACAACATAAAGGTAAGGATGGTTTTTTTTTTTTTTATCGAGGATTGAAGTTGGACTCTCGAGAGTTTCGGCTTCGGTGAGTTTTTTTGCAATGAAAGCTTTGAATCTCGGAGAACATAAGAAAGATGGGGTTGGAGAAGTGAGATTCTTTTGAGAAGATGGTGATTGAGAGCCATGATCCGCCATTAAAGCTTGCTTGTTGCTGGTCACTGCTCTATATCTATTCCTCAGCATAACTCGAAGCAACTGGTAAACCAAGAACAACGAGGGAAAAAAAACAGATCGTTTAAACACACATGGAACATGAAACTGAAACCAAAAAAGAAAGAAAAAACCACGAATTTACCTCTGATTCTGAAATTACAACTTCTCTGTTTTCTTTTCCTTGGTGAAACTCTTACACACAAATCTAGGTAAAAGGTTTTTTTTTAAACTTCAAAAAGACCCAGAAAAAACGTATAATCTGGGAAATTGAAACGCTCCCTAAATCTCTGTAGCCTCCATGACAGAAGAGCTAAAAAAGAACGGTCGGATTCCTTGTACTCTGGTCTTTTATCTCAGTTTCTTCAAGTCAAAAACTGTTTTCAACAGTGAAAAGAATCAATACCCATCATAATACACCCGCGTGCAAAGCACATGGTGAAGAGCAGCAGGCACGATCAACTGCTCACCGCTCTGCCATTTTTTTTTACTGCAAAAGAATCGTCTAACATGGAGTCTCAAGTTTTTCAATTCCCTATGAAATGAAAACATCACCATCACCAAGTAAAGGATGTTATATATAATATAATGTTTAGTTTCAGTTAGTGGGATCTCATTCTGAAATGGATTTACTCTTGCTAATTTTTGGATTTTTGTTTATTTCAGAATGATTAAGCGTTGAACAATTCAGAGGTTATGTATGAATTAACTCTGAATGTGACATATTGTTTCATAATAGGATTGAATCATTCAGAATGTACTTCTGTGCTGAATTATTCAGCACTGTTTTATTGAATCAATCAGTACTGAATCATTTAGAGGTACGAAACAAACGCACTGAAAGCTAAAAAGATCAATCAGCACTGAATCATTCAGAGGTACGAAACAAACACGATAAAAACTAAAAGGTTCAACATTCAACTCTGAATGATTCTATTAAGAGACAAACAAACAACCCCTTCCTTTATCAATATCATTACACTCATGTCTGTTTCTTCTTCTGAAACATCATCAAAATCCGTGTTGACCAATATCAAGTCCGGATATTGACCCAAGACCCAAATTTCGAATACTGACTAGTACTCACAATTTTTTCTGTTGGCTCATCATCGTCTAACTGGTCAATACGAAAACCGGAATTTGGTGCTGAAAGTTGATTGGGATTTGGATTAAGAAAGGTTGTGGGTTTTGAGAAAAACTTAGTTGATTACTACCCGCTACTGACCCAACAATACTACTTCTAGGTTCAACAACATACAATGTAACATCATCTTGTGAAACACTAATGTAAGCAATGAATCGTTCAACATCTTCATTGTCGGTTAACAAATAAACTTTACCATTTCTCTGATAAGATAGCCTAAATCCACTTAGGGGCTCTAAATTCATTTATTTGAAACACGTAGCATTATTTCATAGTTAACTTTTGTAAAGACAATTTTAGTTGAAGATTCATGGGTAAAGGCATATATTGTAAAACACTGAACATTATCCCATGACCCTCCAAAACACAAATCTATCCAAACATGATCAACATTAGATGATTTCATGGTTGTAAATTAATTTACTAAACAGACGAGCTGCGAAACTAAAACCTGTTGCCGGATTGGGAAGGATGTCTTTGGATATAGGAACGGATGTCGCCGGAGAGATGATAGATGGAGATGGAATGAGTTGCGATTTAGGGATTTAGTTTATGATTTCAGTTATATACCCAAAATTTCAGTGTTGTGATTTACAGATTCTCGTTGCGATTTACGGATTATCGTTGCGATTTACAGATTCTCGTTGCGATTTACGGATTATCGTTGCGATTTACGGATACGCGTTGCGATTTACGGATTATCGTTGCGATTTACGGATACGCGTTGCGATTTACGGATACGCATTGCGATTTACGGATACGCGTTGCGATTTACGGATACACGTGCGGTTTACGGATACGCGTTGCGATTTACGGATACGCGTTGCGATATACGGATACGCATTGCGATTTACCCATACGCGTTGCGATTTACGGATACACGTTGCGATTTACGGATACGCGTTGCGATTTATGTTCGCGTTGCGATTTTCATATTCGCGTTGCGATTATGGAAAATCGCAATGCGAATTTGTACTATCGCATCGCGATTTTCAAGAATCGCGTTGCGATTTTGGAAACTGATTTGCGATTCTGGGGATCGCGTTGCGATTTTTATTTCGCGTTGCGAATTTGTTGGTCATTTTGGCAAATCCAAAAAAAGTTGGTTAAAATCGTATATTATAAATTTTTTTTGGTCACTGAGGCGATTTTCTCTTTTAAAAAAGTGTCAAATTAAACATCAATTTAAGACACATTATCACAAATCCATTTAAAATAAATTATCACGTATCCATTTATAATATTATAATAATATTTTAGCAAACAATTAAGTTATGATACATAACACTTAATAATATTATCATTTTTTATTTGTTAATATCATGCCAATGAACTAATTGAATGTTTTGATTTTAAGTTAATATGAATTTTAAAAAAATGTCAAATTAAACATCAATTTAAGACACATTATCACAAATTATCCATTTAAAATAAATTATCACTTATCCATTTATATAATAAATCGTAATGTATAAAGAGTATTTTCATATCATCGATGACGGAGGTTGATGGTGATCAACAATGACTGACAACGAAAAGATTATGATTAGATTTAAGAATCAAATTAATATTTTATCTAAAATTATAGATCAAATTAATATTTTATCTAAAATTCAAGGATCATTGTATGTTGTCTAAAATTTAGATGTCAGATTAAAATTAATTTTTTACCAATTGTCGGTGTCATTAAATAACAAGAGTTAACTGATCAATGACCAGAATATAATAATTTGATAATGTATGTGATTAAAATCTAATTAAAATAAGACAAACTAAAATAAAAGTGACTTTGATGTTGTTACTCGTGTTATTAAAAAATGATCTTATTTGATTCTTTTTATTAGAACAAGGATTAAATCAATTCACAATGATTAATTTAAGCCAATCTTTATGATAGAAGATTAATTATTTCGTTAATAATAGAACTAATTAATCCACTTCCTACAATAGTAGGAATCGACTGATATTTTCAACCATAAGTATGACCAAAAACAAAGAAAAGTTTACGATCTTTCAAGTTTAAAATTACGATGTGCGTACATATACGAGGCAGTACTAATATTATTATCATTAATCTAGTTCGAATCATTAAAAGTACGATAAATTTATAGTGATAAAGTATATTGTATTCTAAAAGTAGGTTAATCCATTCAACCACCATAAGTATTTTACTTTTCAATATAGAAAAACAAGTATCTTTCTTGGATGGTTAGAACTCAGGAGAGGATTGTTCCACTGATAACCTTTATTCGTACAAATAAAGTTCGATGCATAATGTTGCATGTCAATCTTGCTCAATTTCTCATAAAATAAAATAAAATACACCCCAAGTCCCTTAATTATTAATCAGACTATAAGTAAATTATTTATTTTCATCCTACTAATAATATATCTATCTAACAATTTTAGACTTCATTGATGAAATCATCCAGCTCACGTCGTTTTAGATTTTGATGTGAATACTGACTATTATACTATTGAATGAAAGCTTATTTTAATTAATTTATATTAATTTTATATCAGATTAGGAATAACTTAATTATGGAAAAGCCATCAAAATAAAAACCCAGGTCTATTTTGCTGACTAGGACGTTGCAAATGGATTGGAGGTTTTCCTTTAATAAAACTCTGAAAAGTCGGTTTCATTGTATGGCCGGAGTCATGCGCCATATGGAAACCTAATTCTTTTCCAAAGTAAGATATCGTTAGCCTTATCTACTCCATGGATTTATTCGACAGACACACTCAAGTCCCTTTCCATTTGTCTCGAGACTTAAGTGGCACGATTCTATTCTTCAACAGTGCCACAGGGCGACATGCAATAGGAAGGAGAGAAAGTTGGTTGGGGGGGGGGAAACAATCTTCTTCAGGTAATGCAAATGAAAGTTTATGTTAGAATTTAGTAGCATAATGAGTGGGCAGAGGCACATGGGAAAAATCCCCACCTCAAAGCTTTTGATTGTTCCATTCATGGCGATTACAATGGAGGGACCTTCCTTCTCAATGGATATTGTTCTTCTCTTCTTTATAAGCCAAAAGACAATTTTAATATCTTCCTTTTCAAGCTCCGTTCGTGGTTATCTCCAAAATTTGATCTTCTTTTAGTAGGGATGTGGCCATGCATATTGCATAACGTGAAAGGACTTGCCTCTCAACTTTTGGGTTTAATTATTTTTTAGATATTTATAATTTTGAAGCTAAACAAATTAAGTCCTGTTTTCCTTAATTTTTTGGATTCAATTATTTTTTAAGTCCTCTAAATTTTGAAACTAGCTAAATTAGATCATAACTTCTTTCTTGGAATTCAATTGCTTTTTAAAATATAAAATAAGTTAGAGATAAGATATAAAGACAAACAAAAAATTATCAATAGCAATAACCTGATAACCAAAACCCAATACAATCCGGTGCTTAAAATTCAATGCTTAATCCCAAAACAAGCAAAAACTAATTTGAACCCACGGCAAAGAGCTAAAAACCAAGATTAAATCAACTTTAAAATCTTAACAATGAATGCCTAATTACCCTTTAAATCGTATAATTTTTCCTCTGCGATTATAGGGCTCTGAGACAACTTTCAGTTTGGTAAAGATGTTACAAGTATCTCGGTGTCATGCATACGCTCAATTATAAGATGGGGAAAAGCTGCAAAAATTAACCAATCATTGCTTGCTTTTCCTATCGTTTCTTGTTCGCTTTCTGAACTCTCGTACTGATCGGAATACTGCTTCTTAATTAACAAGTTGCACATTGCTGTTTTAACAGCATCTGCGGCTGCCAAGAACACCTTCTCATCGATGAAATACTTCCCTGCAATTTCTCAAGCAGTTTGGCTCCGCCGGGTATTTCACTATCAGCAAGACAGTCAGTTCCTGCTCCGATGCGTTAGGACTGCTCTTCTTGAGACCGGAAATGGCTTTCACTCGGGAAAAAGATGAAACATCAGAACCTCGCAACTTAGAGGCACCTGTTACCATCCATAATATTCTCCGGATATACTACAGCCAAGGCTTGTAGGAATGAAATTCTCCCGCCAAATGAGATCACCTGCCAAAATTAGAAGTTACACAGGACACAATTGTTAGCCATAGATTTCATCAAAGCTTTAAGCATACATCAGGATTCAGCCCCTTTCTAAACTATAAAGTCCAGATTAATTTAAAAAAATATCCTTATCATGTTATCATAAAACATGTACATGCTTAAGTTGTGCAAAAAGCTGAGCGGGATATGTGAAATGCAAGCTATGATGTCAGGCAAAGGAAATGAAACGGTTTCCAAGCAATGCAAGTTACACAATCCTTGTGTTTAGATTGTTGAAGTTGTAGTATCTACTTTGTGACAGAAAGCGTTCGAGATGGAAGGTCGCAGGTCAAAAACATTATTCCCCGCAGACTACATAGAACGAACAACTGTTATTGTACTAAACTGAACAGGCGGACCATTGAAGAATAAAAACAAGAATATAGAATAATCAGAATCTGACCTTTGAATGGCGACTGCAATAAGGGTACATTCCGGAATTGTGCAAATGTCTGTAACAGTTGAACAGTTCACTTCAGCAGCATCAGATTCAACCTGTCCCACCTTCGGTAAGGAAGTAAAAGTAAACCAAGATAAAAGGTTTAACAGCAAAGTAAAAGTAGAAAAATAGAGATAAACGGTATTGTCTTTCCCTGAAACATCATCAGTAATCTCCAAAAGTTTTCATAACAAGCGAGGTATACCTTGGTACCAACTTCACAAGTATCAAGGAGGGATCCAGATATAATATCCCACATGCGAACCTAAAGAAGAATACGACAAGTTCATTGATTTCCGAAATTTTCACCTGGAAACTAAAAGAAGGCAAGAAACAACTTTGCAGGTTAAACAAATAAAATTCTCATACTCACAGTTGAATCACCACCTCCAGACACAAGAATACCCTGCGGAGAATCTGGAGTGCAAATGAAGGCAAGGCAGAAAAATCTGTACACAATTAAAATGAGCACCTATATCTTCCATTATAGAAATAGAGAATCATATATTCTCAGATAAAGAAATGGAGATTTAAGTAAATTCTGATTACTAAAAAAGAGTGTTAAACAGTTTGATTATCAACCTACCAGAGTCGTTGACTAGGAATCAAGCAAGTTCAAGCATACTTTAGCCCCTTAAGTTGGCACAAAATTTTCTTTGGAAATAGTACCTTTCATATGTACATATCAAAGCAAAGAAAGGAAACATGAAATCACAAAAATTCACTCACTCCGAATGACCAAGACAAAAGCTTTGAATCTCATGAGCACCATCTAATGGCTTCTTAGGAAACACTGTAACCTGTCAATAAAAAGTAGCATGAAACATTGGTGCTTTATGAAGCTATCAACTATCATGGTTAGAGTAACTAGAAGGTTAAGCATGATGGTTTACACGAATTTTGAAATCTCTGTCCGCGCTGACAATGTAACGCCCATCAGGTGAAAACTCCTATAAGTAAGTCCTTTTAGTAATTTGGTAAATGGTAACTAACAAACAAACCATGCTCGCATCAATACATGTACAACTTAAAAGGGAAATAATCCTTCTCGAAAGTGGGTAAAATGACCCAAAGTAGCTAATTGATTACCAGGCTAGTAATGATACTACAATAATGTGCAAGCAAAGGCAATGCCTTCTTGTTAAGAGGAGCTTCGGTTCCATCGACCCCGGGAGATCCACCACCCAAACCACTCCAAATTTGTCAGCAAAACAAACATGAAGACCATCATGCTTATAGCAACTGCACTTACTCTCTTCTCAGAAACCCTGTCATACATCAAATTCATAATGAATCACTAAAATAAGTAAAAATTTTTCCAAAAAATTAGTTCGGTGTTTAAGAACTTACACAGTGGAAAAACAGCGCCAACAATCGGTAGACCAAACCTTGACAAGTTTATCTCCAGCAGACACGAATAGTGTCCCATTTGTTCCATATTTAATACATCTTATTGAATCATTATGATAAGCCATCCGACTCATCCATCAAAGGCACGGCACAATTGTCTCTGACAGCATCCATTTTTTTTCCTTTTAAACGTGTTCATTTCTTACCGGAATTTTAAGCAACCTAAAATTGATTAGGCATAAAGCCATGATAATGGAAGAGGAGACAAAATCTTACAGGAGATTGAATACACGAAGGTCCGACCCGACAGTGACTGCAACTGAGTTCTGGGTCGGGTGGACGGAAACAAGGGCTGGAGCAACCTCCATGTCCTTGTTGTTTTGTTCAAATTCTTCCATTTGAGCATCTTCCTGTGCAATACCGTTGTCGTGTTCACACACTTCGACCCGAGCATCCATTTTGGCTACTTCCATGGAACGGTTCCTTTTTTTAGGGTTTTAGTTAATGCCGGTTAGATGGTTTAAGCTTGCCGGTGGCATTTCAAATCATTGGGCTTTTAAGTTCTAAGGGCCTTTCGGGACATAGCGCCAACCTTTTATGAATTATTTTTTTAAAATTAAATACGAAATTAGAATAATTTTATATTTCATTTGGAAATAAAATGATAAATTAAATAGTTAGTTATTCTTTTAAAAAAAATAATTTTAAATAATTTAAAAGTAATTATTTAAAGAAATCATTTTAAAATAAATAACATTTTATCTAATCATATAGCATATTTCCCTAAATCTAGATTTGTTAATATTTTATAATTTTAATGGATCGATTGCATTTCGAATATTGTACTTTATGAAATAATTTTTGGCTATTCAATATAATATTTCTATTTTTTTAAAATATCTTACTGGTCTACTTTTGCTTGGAACCCTCGTATTAATTATTTTATATTGATAATTGATCAGAATCACTTAAGAAATGTAATTAAATAGCAATGGATCTCATATTTCCTTCAAGCACGCATGACAAAGAAGGAAAACAAATGGCTACTACTGTCTATTTAGTAGGCAAAGAAGCTCCTTGTCGAAATAAAACGCATAACACAAGGCGAAAATCATATGTATGAAGCAACGAACAAAGTAAAGAGAGTTAGAGCAAGCGGCATTTCCATGGCACTTCCATTTGATTCGCTGCCTTCTTCTGTAGGGACTGTTTTAGATCCAGTTCCTGCAGATTTTTCATGTGTGAGTAAGCTGTTAGGAAAAATGAAGAATTCAACTCACATATTTATTGGAATTCTAGAACTTGTAAGTTCCGTCTACCTGAGGGAATGCTCGGCATCGATGATGTAGCCGGCGTGTCCGGTGTCTCGTCTGAACTATCAGCTGCTGGACTTACAGCAGAGCTCACTGGGGCAGCTGCCGGACCATTGCCGCCGTTACACCTGCTCAGTGGCGGTGTTTGCACATTACAAGCTCCAGGGAGTGACAGAGCTTTGGTCTGGTTAATGGTCATACCCAATGTCGAGCTCCCTCCATTGAGCGCCGAGCAAAGACACTGAGGCTGTGATTGAACCACGCTAGACAGCTGAGAGCAACAACTTGATGCTGGGGTTGTCGAGTTTCCCGTAATGTAGTTTAAACACGGGGCTAAACCCAAGAGCACGCTGGTGCAACCCGACTGAGCCGCGGTTAAATAGAAAACCATGGTCACAGAAACCAGGGCCAGACCCAACTTGACATATTCTAAACCCATTTTGGAGGTTCAATAAGGAACAAAGAGATGGTGTGTCTTCCCCAAGGGGAATGGTGAGCAGATAAATAACACCTATACCTATAATGGTAACTGGTCGTGCTGTATTAGTTGCATTCGGGTGGCCAACTTTTACTAAATCAGGGCTGATTTTGGTTGAAACAGTTATAAGAAGCTCAACCATCATCCTTCCATGGCAAGTATTGAGAATAATATGTACAACCAGCTTTAGCTTCACAAGCCAAAGGGAAAATAATGGGTCTAAAGCAGCTGGCCAAAATGGTTGACTACTTTGCACTGTCTACTGACACTTGTTAAGATCATATCAATAGGCAGCATTAATTTCATTTTAAACAGAAAAGGAGAAGAAAACAGAATTGAGCTCTTTTGGAAAAGCCCAAATCTGAAACCAAACCGGTCGGGATTGTGGTTTTGAATTGTCGATTCCCAACCGACGCAAACCCGATAATCCATATTATGGTATAAGCCAAAACCCTAAAACCCGGTGTATAAGGGAGACGATCCAGATCTTCCAAATCATTGGCAAAACCTCGGTGCTTTAGCTCTATAGTACTCTCTAGCCTTCATTTTTTTTTCATTTAGTTGTTCTGAATTTCTGAAGCTTTTGTTTTAGGGATTAAAATGGGCTGGAAAGCAGCTGAGAAGCTTACAAGGCACTGGACAATTCGGGAATTTGACATAACTTACACTAATTTTCTTTAATATTCCCTTTCTGACACTGTTTGATCAATATTTCCCGAATTAACACCCTTTTTGCTGAGTTGGTAAAGGCGCGTCCCCGGGGACGCGCTTTACCCGTGTTTTCGCTGAGTTGGATGCCACGTGTGGAAGGCGCATCCCCGGGGACGCGCCTTTGCCAACTCAGCAGACACGTATTTTGTTTAATAATAATAGTTTTTTTATTATTATTATAAATTAATAATATATTATGTAAAATGTTTCGATTATAATGTAAGAATTATCAAATGTATTTTGTTAATGTGTGTTAAGGTGGAGTGAATTATCTACATTAATATGATATAACAATATGAAAACCAGTTTTGACTTTATTGTAGTTTTAGGAAAAATGTATGAAATTATAATATTACACATATGATTATATTATTATTTTTGATTTTGATTATCGATCTATTAATTTTATCAGTTAATTATTTAAATGTTATCAATCTAGTCATCTCATATCAATATTAACGAAAATATTGATGCATAAGTTAATAAATTAGTATAATTACATATTTAATCTTCAAGACTTACATATTTTATAAAATTAGTCTTATTGAAAATTTAATTTAATAAATTTAATCCTCCAATCAGAACATGAAATGTGTCATCGTATACATAAATTTTTTAATAACTTTTAATTTGTTTAATTTAATATTTTTCTCTACTTAGAAGGTGGAATTATTATTATATTTAAAAAAAATTATAACTAATAATATTAATTATTTAAATAAATATATTAATATATTTATGTATTTAAAAGTTAAAAAAAATTATTTAGGTGTACATACATTGACAAATTATATAAATGCAATAACATTAAATTATTAGAAACAAAAACATTCATTTAAATACAATATTAATTACATAAGAGTTAACGGTTATATGATGATAACAGAGCTGGACATTTTTTTCTATTGGCAGCGATCGCGAACCATTCGATCATTCACGTAATGATGTTGAGTTTCGAACTCAACAATTGTCTTCGGGATTAAGTCTTTGCACAACATGAAACCAACTGGGCAGCTCGTTGTAAGAGGAATCCCATTCGCCATGAAGTTTGCAAATGGCATTCTATTTTGCCAACCACGCTTTTTTATATGAGACAGTGTACCCATATTGTGACTGTATAGCAGAAATCAACACTGCAACAGCTATATGAGAGCTTTTTCTTCACAATGGGCATGATTGCTTGACAAATAATGTTGGAGTCCAAGTTGGGATGATCCTGGTTTATACCTGTTGCACAACATGTATGATGACCGTTGTATCTGGTTAGTTCCCATAAGTTGTTCTTCCTCTTCCTCTTTGATACACGGACCATCCATTGACATCCGTTGTCACGTTGGACGCAGTAGCAGACATATTTCTCCGTGTTAGATCGATCAACTCGGGACTGAACTGAGTTACGAATATTGTAACTCTTTATTGCCATCATTGCTTCCTCCTTCGATGCGAACTCCATTCCAATATGTAAATTACCGTCATTGACTGATGATTGAAGTCCATAGTTGCCAACATCAGGAAGATCTGGAAATTCAGGCTCATACATTGCATCATAATCAGCCTCATACATATGTGCAGGAAGTTCGGCTGGTGTTGTATTTATCGGAACGTCATCCTCGTCATCATCAGAATGTAAGTTAAACTGTGGTGAGTCAGGTTCAACGAATAATCCCGTTTCAGCACCATCTGCACCTGGCTCCCGAAGAGGTTCTTCTGGTGGAGATGAGGGTTCCTCCGATAATCCAATGTTGAGGTCAAATAAGTTCCCCCTTGCGTGTCCTCCCCTTGAACTTGAGGCCATTGTAACATGTGGGATGTGAATAGACTGTCGTCTCGTTGGCATTTCCATATGTAAGTCGAAAACATTGGCAGATGAATGTCTGCCCCTTGAAGTAGAAGAGATGTTGCCATATGGATTATTGGTGAAGCCACGTGGGTTGAGATTATAAGCAGTTGCAGATGAATGCCTTCCTATTGAACTTGATGGCATGGTATATGGCGTTGGATCCGCCATTAATGATGTGAAATCATTACAGATCAGTTGTGTCGGGCTATCAACTTGATCAGTTTGATATGCAATGCCAAAGTGAGAGGAATATGAGAGACCACGAGTTGCACGAACCTCAATAAAAGTGGCATATATTTCAATAAGAGATTGTGAACTCCCCATATGAGCATCAACCATCATAGAAACATCATCATCGTTTGAAAGCTGAAATGATGTATACGTGAGCGGAAAAAGTTCAGTAGGAAATCTGTACTGAAGTGAAGATAGTCTTCTCTGGCCTGCTACACGAATCTTTAACGAAATTTTTGTGATTAACTCCTCAATTGTGATGTTTCTCTTCAAGGTTAAGGGGATATAATGATTTGACTCAAAAACAACCCCCTCTTCAGCTTCCTTAATTTCTCCATCATACAAAACAACAGCAGAAAGACGACTCGTTTTCAGAGAATTTGAGAATTTAGAGTTTGGGAATTTGAGAATTTGAAAGATTGTGAACTGAAGTTTGTTTTGAAAGTTTATAATACGTTGCATATAATAGTGTCTATAATCGGAGTACTATTCACATGAATGCGTTCCCGGGGGCGCGCCTTCCATTATTTCGTCAGAGAATATGTTATCATTGCCCTATTATGTCACTCATGTCCCTCGGGGACACTAGATATATCAGTACCTATTATTTCACTATTCATATGAAGGCGCGTTCCCGGGGGCGCCTTCCATTATTTCGTCAGAGAATATGTTATCATTGCCCTATTATGTCACTCATGTCCCTCGGGGACACTAGATATATCAGTACCTATTATTTCACTATTCACATGAAGGCGCGTTCCCGGGGGCGCGCCTTCCATTATTTCGTCAGAGAATATGTTATCATTGTCCTATTATGTCACTCATGTCCCTCTGGGACACTAGATTTATCAGTACCTATTATTTCACTATTCACATGAAGGCGCGTTCCCGGGGGCGCGCCTTCCATTATTTCGTCAGAGAATATGTTATCATTGCCCTATTATGTCACTCATGTCCCTCGGGGACACTAGATATATCAGTACCTATTATTTCACTATTCACATGAAGGCGCGTTCCCGGGGGCGCGCCTTCCATTATTTCGTCAGAGAATATGTTATCATTGCCCTATTATGTCACTCATGTCCCTCGGGGACACTAGATATACCAGTACCTATTATTTCTCAGGGGACATGAAGGCGCGTTCTCGGGGGCGCGCCTTCCATTATTTTGTCATAGAATATTTATCATTGCCCTATTATGTCACTCATGTCCCTCGGGGACATTATTCATATCAGTACCTATTATTTCTCAGGGACATGAAGGCGCGTTCCCGGGGGCGACTTCCATTATTTTGTCATAGAATATGTTATCATTGCCCTATTATGTCACTCATGTCCCTCGGGGACACTAGATATATCAGTAAATCAGGTAAATTATAACCAAAATTTAACTTTTTTTGAAAGTTCAGCAAGTTAAGAATAACTTAAATTAAAACGTTATGTGAAGTTTGAATAAATTAGATAAAATGTTATGGATAAATTGAATAAATGTGAAGTGATAAGTTGATTGTGACATTGAAATTGTATGAAATGAGCATTGAAATGTGACATTGAATAAATTGCCAATTCACCCCCCCTCTTGGCCGATTCGTCGATCGATTAACTCAACATAAGTTGATTTTAATGTATACATTTTAATATATATGTTAATGATAAATCATATGTATGGATAAATTTAATTTCAATTTAAGTATTGTGAACTATAATTGGAATATAACTTTTAATTTCGAATACAATTGGAATATTAAGTTGAAATTTAATGTTAAATTTTGAATACTATAATTTATATTTTAAATTTAAATTTCGAATAATATTATTTTTATTTTAAATTTCAAATAATATAATTTTATTTTAAAAACATTTATCAAACATTTAATGTTAAATGTGAATAAAAATAACATTAAAAAAATGTATGTAACAACCATGAAACATTTAAATAACATAACCAAATTACATAAAATTCTGAAATATAATTATTTAAATAACATTAAATATAACTGGATCACCGATGTCGTCTTCTCGAATGAGTTCCACATGGCGTGGTTGTCTATTTCGTGGAGGATTTCTTCGTGGAACTTGTTCTTCAGTCTCCTCATCTTCACTATCATCATCAGCAGCATTTTCTTCATTTGGTGTAGATGACGCTGAAGGCGCTGAAGGGCCTGTATAAAATAACGACCCTGGAGGAGTGCTAGTAACAATCCCACCG